CTCTCTGTCTCCACTCTCCTCCTTTCACTGTCTTTACACCTTTGCTTATCTGCTGCCTGGCTTGAATTAACCTCCACAGACCAGTGACTCTATTTGCCTGCCCCAGCCCTGAGCTCTTAGTTGTCCAGGTGACAGCATGGCTGGCACTGGGTTCATATCCAACCCCAGGGTCACTTTAGTCAGCTCCATCTCCAAGACCACTGCTGCCATGCTCCCTGGAGTCTCTCCACCACAACTCATTTTGGAAACGGCAGCCAGTAATCCCAGTTGGGAGAAATCGACTATTGTAATCCTCATCTCACACCTTGGGAAGCTTAAGTCCTCAGAGGTGAAAGGATCTGCTCAAGGTCATAGAATGAGTCTTTCTGAGGAGTCCTCCATTTCTAAAACCAAACCCAGTGGTCCACCCCTGCCCTTCCAGACAGAGTTCCGGACACCTGGACGTCCGGCCGGGTCTCCTTTCCAACTCCCTCCCGTTCACTGTGGAAGCCACCCACCTGCCAACCTCATGTCCGCTTCTGCTGGATTGGGGCCGCCGGCAGGTGCACTGTGTGGGGACCGTGCACTCTGGGGTAACAAAGCAGAAGAGCAGGTTTGGGTGATGAGCCTGTGCTGGGCCCCCGCTGCCGGCCGGGCGTGATTGGTGCACCGACTTGTTCGTCCAACTACCTGGCCAGGCTCCTCGGGAACGCGGAGAGAAGCTTTGCCGGTACAGGAGGGGCCTCGGGAACCTGTCGGCTCAGGATCGTGCCCACCGGAGCCTTTGGGGCTGGGAAGTGGAAGTGGTTCTGCCGGAGGCGGGCCCCTCTGGTGGGAGGCCCAGAGCTCAGGTCGCCCCTTCCGGCCTGGGGACCGGCGACGAGGGCTGGGCCGGCCGGAGAGTTGCCTGACCGTGGGGAGACGCGAGCTCCTTCGGGGGCCGTCCTGTCAAACCAGCCGCCCCGCTTTGCTCGGCGTGGTGGAGCGAGGGAGCTGCGCAGCGCGGCCCGAAGGCCCGGCAATGGCGG